CTTCTTCCATGTTCCCTTCCTCAGCCACCAGTGCATGATTCACCTTGCACCCAGCCCAGACACCTGGGCCTCACCTGAGATACCCCTCCTCCCCCACACCCCACAGACCACCCTGAGGACCTCTCCTGAGGGGCTTGGGGCTTCCCCTCCTCCCCACTCCCACTGTCCCCACCTTAGTTCAGACCTCAGTATCTCTCCTCACAGATCTCAGCTCCTTCTAATATGTCCTCCAAATTTGCATCCTGAGTCATCTGAAAACACACACACACACACCCCAAAACTGTGGTCATGTCACTTCCCTCCTTCAACAACTTCTGCGACTTCCCATTGTCCTTAGGACAAAGGTCTAACTCTTTGCCTGATTTATGAAGCCCTGAGCCGGGCCCCATCCAGCCTGGCTAAACTTCCTCACCCCAGCTTAGAGACCACTTCCTCTGGGGCAGTTCCCCTCGCCCCCCAGGGCTGTGCTAAGAGTCTGCTCTGGATAACAGAGCCGCTGCACCTCACTGTATCACAGCACCTAATTCTCAGCCAGCCTGTGAGCCCTGGGTACCACCGTAACCCCAGAGCCTGGCCCCAGAGCATACAGCGGGTGCTCAATAAGCATTTCCTGTACCCCTGCAAGAATGCATGAAACAGGGAATGAAGTTGGGACTCTTGGTAACCGGGTGACACAGACAAACGGCTCTCATTTCCCCAATGTTCCCTGGAGGACACGGAAGCCCGAGAGCGGAAGGGGCTTGTCGCCGAGTCCCACGCTCTGAGCGCCCCCTCCCATCCCCACCTGTCCGCAGGGCAGACAGCGCTGAACATCGCCATCGAGCGGCGGCAGGGGGACATCACCGCGGCGCTCATTGCCGCTGGCGCCGACGTCAACGCCCACGCCAAGGGTGTCTTCTTCAACCCCAAGTACCAACACGAAGGCTTCTACTTCGGTGAGTGTCACCCCTGGGGGTTGGGGGCTACGGAGGAGGGAGAGGCCGCCTCTCCCGGCTCTGCGCTCTGCCGGGACCGACCCTGATCCTAGAGGCTCTGGCGGGCCAGGGCTGGAGACCCCACTGGCGATCTCTGCAGGCTGAGCCTGGAGACGGTCCGAAGCCCCGGAGGACAGAGCCAGGACCAGGGAGGTGGCAGCAGCAGATGCATCCGAGCAGAACTGCCACGGCCCACCAGAGAGGGAAGGGCTGGAATGGTGGGGTCCCTGTGTGTGTGTGTGTGTGTGTGTGGGAGGGGGTGGTCTTAGAGGGAATACAGACATCCGCTTGGGCAGCGCTGTGTAGGGAACAGAGACTTGGGAAGGGAGGCCAAGCAGAGAGCGACAGCCCCGTTTTACAGGTTGGGGCGCAGGTTCGGAAATGGAAATGACTTGCCCAACAAAGTAAGGAGTTGATGTAGGTGTCCCGCCTCCCAGCTCTGGAGCTGTCCCCTGAGTCCAGTGCCTGTCAGAACTGCAGCCAGGGAGTCAAGAGTGAGAGCATGGAAGTTTCCTGACTGAAAATCTAGGGCGTCCAAAAGCAAATGGGGTTGGAAGCTCCGGGTGAAAAAAAAAAAAAGATTTTTTTAAAGTATAATTTAGGTACAGTGAAACTCATCCATTTTTAGTGTACAATTCTGTTCATTTTCACAAATGCGTGGAATCCTGTAAACACATCACAGTTAAGGACTCTGTCACACCAAAAAATTCTCTGGTACAACTTTGAAGTCAACCCCTCCTTCCATCCCAGCCCCTGACCACTTCTGATCTGCTTTCTCTTCTGGGCAGTTTTTCTAATCAGTAGGTTTAAGTAGATTTGCATATCCTTGAGGACAGGGTCTTGTTCAATTCATCTCCTGTCCCCATTGCCCAGCACAAGACCTGGCTGGAGCAGGTGATGGGAAGTATTGTTGACTGGGATGAAGAGAGGGAACAAGAGGAGAAAGATTGGGAGGGGAATGGCAGGTGTAGGGCCAGAGCCCAGGGCTGGCTTCAGGAGACCTGCTGTCCAGTCCTGCTGCTGATCCTTGGCTTGCTATGTGACCACGTGGGAGTCACCTGCCTTCTCTTTCCTTCACATTTACTGAGCAATTACTATATACATCAGGCACTGTTCTAGGGGCTTAAGCTATATCACTGAAC